GAGCATATGAGAAGGTGCTAACTTTAAGCTGATGAGTATGGTACTTGTACCGCATTTGTAATTATGGAAACTTATAGTACGAGAGCTAGCAACATTGCCAAAACGAGAATTTCAGGTAGGCTAGTTTTTTATATCCCCTCTCTTTCACTATCTCGGTAGGCATGCGGACTGTCTGGCTGGTGGGAGAGGTTGCGTTTATCTAATACAGATAAAAATATTAATTTCAAAAATTTTGACGGGAAATTCTGAACGCAGGATCTCGCGAAATGGAGCTTTCGGGATCGGTTTCTGCGTACAGATGGAAGTATTAAGGTTGGGAAGGAGCTTCGCGTAGCCGTATCGATTCGGATCTCGAAGATTAAGGGCGGCAGGAGCGAACGGAAAGTGGCATTTTTGACGTTTCAAATTTTGAGAAATCGGGGGCTTTTTCCGCGCTATCTTCTGAGGGCGCGCGTTTGTAAAATCGGAAAATATAAGGAACTCTTCATTGCGTAGCGATATTTTCATTCCTTATTTTCCCACAACGAAAAAGATATGAATTTTTACGTGTAACGAAATTTTTAAGTGTAACGAAAATTTACATATATTTTCTATGAAAAAAAAACGGCAGCCATTTTGAATTGTTTACGATTTTTAGTGTAAACGTCAAAAATGCCACTTTTGGTTCGCTCCTGCCGCCCTTAATCTTCGAGATCCGGGTCGGTGCGGGCACGCGAAGCTCCTTCCCAACCTTAATACCTCGATCTGTAGGCAGAAACCGATCCCGAAAGTTTCATTTCGCGTTCAAAATTTCCCGTCAAAATTTTTGAAATTAATTTTTTTTTACATGTATTAGTGTTATGCTCACCGGTAAACGCAACCTCTCCCGCCAGCCAGACAGTCCGCATGCCTACCGAGATAGTGAAAGAGACGGGATATCAAAAAACTGACCTACCTGAAATTCTCTGTCGAACATGTTGCCAGCTCTTATACTATTAGCTACACATGTTAACGCATTTTCTAACACAATTTTCACACTTCTAAGGTTGTTTTAAAAAAAGTTCTACACTAGTAGAAAAATGCCTACATGCCGTGGAACCAGACTAGCTAGTAACACATTGACTCTCAAGAAGTTGATACGTCTGTCCGCTCATTTGCAATATGTGGTCTAGTGATTCTGAAAGCGATTTTGAGGATGGCCCTGCTAAATACCGTTTTCGAGAAAGAACCGGCTTTATTTTCTGTCCAATGCTGAGTTTACGGAAAGACGAGCGGAAAGATTTAGATGCCAAGGTGCCTTGTAACAGATAGGCCAACGCGGCGCTTGCCAATAGGACAGTTCGATGGTATGGTTTGACATCACTACAGAAAATACTAATTATACTGCATTGGTTGGGAAACGGGGGCCGGTATCATGGAGTTTGTGACATGCATGGTGTTTTTAAAGTGACTTTGTGCAGATGCGTGGGGATGCTGTGAGTCGTTTAAAATCCAATGATTGTTGCATGGCCTGAAAATATGTTAGATTTTATACCAAAGGTTAACGTTACAAAATATCGTTTCAAAATAACGTTCCAAAATAACGAAACATAACGAGCGTATCTCTTATGCACATAATAAACTACTTATTGTACTCTTATTATATATTTATCATGTAGTTTCTTCGAAACAAGAATAATACAAGATAATACCATAATTTAAAATTGTTGGTACTGAATAATTAGAAATGTCTGAACTAGGTCCTCAAAACAAAGTAAACGTGTCAATACAATAATCAGTTTTTCGTAGCACAACTTGGATAGATGTTCTTTTAAGTATTTATATTTTTGATATTTTCATTCGTGTTCTAAAATGTCTGAATATTTTTAGGTGTATATTACTTTATGACAGAGGAAGGGCGTTTTGGTTGTTTGAAATGTGGATGTTCTTATAAAAAGAAAAGCCCATTTCTCTCGGCATGTTAAATATGAATGTGGAGTTGAGAGAAAGTTTCAGTGCAACTACTGTAAATTGAAATTTAAACACAGAAACCATTTAAACGTTCATATGGCCACGAAAAAGTGCCATAATACAATTATGGAAACCATGTATAGGAAAAATGTACATTATTAATAAAATAGACGTGTATAAAAAGTTGGTATGTTTTCTAGTAGAGTCCCTTCCTTCATATTGTTTATAATTATTTCGTAGTGATGTTTTGTAAGATTTTTTATTTTACTGATTTATATATTTTGCTATTAAGCCACTAAGAATCTGTGATCATGTGAAATAATACGAGTTTAAATGTTTTGGGTGGTATTGTAAAATATGTATTTCTATAAGTATGCTGAATTTCTCAAGTAAAAGTAAATCTTATGTAAGTAATAAAAAAAATCAAATGACTTCATGTGTGGAAACTATTTTTAAGTGAATAACAGCGTTTCAAACTGGTAACTCCAAAAAAGAGATTTTTTGAAAATTTCAAAACCATTGAACTGTAAACAGAAACAGATAGGTGTCAACATTTTACGCAATTACTTCAAATATGTGCCCCTCTCGTACGCCACTGGTAAAAAAAGAATATGCCATCAAAATATTCACATCGTAGGCTAACGAACTTCATCATTGGGATCTTGAAAACCGCAAGAAATACAGGATCGGTTAAATTATGGCAAAGTTGCGCAATTTGATGCTTATCAAAATGCGGTGGTGGAATTTGGAAAATTCCGAATACTTTCTGAAATATCCGGAAAAAAACGAAATTTCAAAATTTTTTAAATTTTTTCTGACGTTATTTGAAAACAAATTTTAAAACGAATAACGCTTCCCCATTGCCACTTTTTATTCCTCTACAAGATGGCGCTATCAAATTTGAAATCATATGTTTCGTCTTCCAGAAACCATCATTAACTTAATTTTTTTAAATACGGACCTGGTTTTTTATTTTATTTTTTTGTTACCTTTGGATGACCTAAATGCTATGAACAATCACAAATTTTAATTTTCAAACGTTTCGATGACAAAAACTGACATTTTCCGTATTTAAAAAAAAAACAATTAACAATTTTAAAAGCTAGGTAAAAAATAAATATCTAAATTTATGATACTGATGAAAAGCTATATTAAAAGCAGATAAAAAGTCATTATAATTATAACTAAAGCACGTATTGGTAGGTAACTAATTTAGATTACAATAGTAAATACCAATGTAGTATTTCTTATTTATTTCCAAATCCTAAATAGGATTTTAAAAAATAGGATAAGTCAGATACTTTTATTTTAATCTAATGTGTCCGTCCACCTCGTTTATATTGAGCTTATTTCTGTAATATTAACGGAAAATGAAAGCCTTGAATTAAAACAAGAAATCGCCCTAGCTCCTTAAAATATGACAGTTTAAATTTTTAAATAATTTGAAACAGTAAAAATGGTGTTTTTCAATTCAGAAAAACGTAATATGCTTGGGATTTATTACGGTGTCAATAGAAATTCGCAAATTTCATGTGAACGATATTTAGAAAGATACCCAAAGCGTCCACAACCCCATTATTCGTATTTTAATACTTTGGACATAAATTCGGGACTTTTTGGTAGTTTTGGTAAACCCCGAAATGCGTATGGCGGACGAATAGAAGCTGAAGATGAAGAAGCTGTTATAGATGCTGTAAGTTTTGTTGTAAAATAATAATATGCATTTTAATACATATAATATTTTGTGGTAAAATTTCACCGAAACGTTTTATTAAAGGTTACGGAAAATCATGTGGGTTCATCTCGGCAATTTACCGTAGAACTAAATATGCCTAGAATCCGAATTCAGAGGATTCTCAAAAAACATAGGTATCATCCCTATAAACTACATGTCAGCCAAGAATTAAGGCCAGGAGATAGTGAAAGAAGGATTAAATTTTGCAATTGGCTTGATGGAAAATTGCAACAAGATGGCGATATTTTAAATAAAATTATCTGGACTGATGAGTGTAATTTTTCCACATGCGGTCTTTTTAACAGGAACAATGAGCATTATTATGCAGTGGAAAATCCGCACCAAAATCAACAAGTGCGAAGGCAAAGACGGGCATCATTTAATGTTTGGGTTGGGCTGTATCGAAATAAAATCTTGGGGCCAATTATTTACTATGGAAACTTAAATGCTGAACGCTATCTTAATTTCATTCGAAATTATATATTAGATGCGCTTGACGACGAGCCTTTAAATATGCTTCGGTAACTGTGGTGGCAATAGGATGACGCACCAACCCATAATGCAAGGGCCGTCACACAGTTTCTTAATGATACATTTCCTAATCAGTGGATTGGAAACCAAGGGGTAGTGCGCTGGCCTGCTAGAAGCCCGGATTTGTCCTTGCTGGATTATTTTTTATGGGGATTTTTAAAAAACCGTTTGTATGAAGATACTCTAAGTGACATAAACATTTTGCGCCAAAATTTAATGTTAGAAATACCAGATTTAAGAGCAAGAGAAAGAGTAATCCAGCGGGCGGTTACGGGCATTTACTTTAGGTTTTAATTTTGTTCCTTTTAAAGTTTAGGTATATAGTTATTAATTAATTAGTTAATTATTATTAACATTATTTAGCCAGAAGTAATAATTTGTTTTATAAAGTGTCGTATGAAATATTTTTAAAAAATACAGAAAATGTCAGTTTTTATCATCGAAACGTTGGAAAATCAAAATTTGTGATGGGTCATAGCAGTTAGGGAGTATTTAAGCACCTAATTATTATTGTTAAATGCTTAGATATACGGTCACCCTAAGGTATATAAAAACTTGATTAATCCGAATTGAATTTGTAAAGTTTCCGTAATATCATATGTATTTTAAATACTTAGATAATCCGATCAACTTTATAGGTATAAAACTGCAAAAATTCTTTTGTCTTCATTCACTTTATGAATCATTTGAAAATGGCACGTTAAGTGTCGAAACTGCAGTAGCGTTTAGTTACAATAAATAACAGTGATAAAAAACAAAATATTCTATCATAAAAGTAACAAAAATGTAAAAACAAAATTGTGTGGCATTTTGGTCGAGTAGTAAAGACACTCGCCTCTCACCCTGGATGCCCGGGTTCGATGCCCGGTTGAGGAGCTCAGATTTTTTCTAAACCAGAAATAAATCCTAGCACACCCAGACATTGAGTATATGTTTATTGTCTCTAAATGTGTAGCTCTCTCCCACACAAGGTACATTGAGATACATACCCTCAGGAATACAGGGGGTTGTATTACCTGTGATGTTTAATTACTTGTGGCGTTTAAAGTAAGACTTAAAACTGTAAACTCTTTTAATGAAAATAAACGTATGGATATAACATACAAACATACTACTTGTTCTACATTAGGTAGTTGGGTAATGCGGCCACATGTCATGAGCATCCAATCAATTCCACTTAAATACTTACCTGATGCAGTAGGTACTGCAAAAAATTTACCGTATCGTACTGTACCGTCAACTGTAATACCAGTGCAAAATATCGAGGATTGGAAAGAAAAGTACCAACACCCGAAAATATCGTAGAAATATAAAAAATCCATGAAATCACCGACAAAGATGCCGCCCAAACAGATGGACGATTTAAAGTGTATTGTAAATATTGTAGGTATATTTAATAAATATTCATTACTATTGGCGTTATATGGCCAAATGTTGTATAGTATATGTATAGTGTAATATTCTAATTTTAATTAATTTGAATTGTAAAATATTTTTGATAATTTTTTTTTTTTTAGAAGCATATTATTTTATGACAGGGGATGGACGTTTCGCTTGCCAAATGTGTGGACATTCCTACAAAAGAAAACAGCATTTATACAGACACGTTAGATACGAATGTGCCACAGAAAGATTTTTTTCGTGCAGTATTTGCGAGCGCAAATTTAAGCAGAAGAATCATTTAATACGTCACCAATTGTCAGAAGTGTGTTTGAAGAAGAAAACATTAAGTTAATAGTAATAGTTATCGGACCAAAACTTGCAAATGTGGCAAATTTACTCGAATATAAATCTATTTTTAATACATTTTTACAAAATATTTTATTCAAAATATATATAAAATATATATATATATATATATATATATATATATATATATATATATATATATATATATATATATATATATATATATATATATATATATATACAGTGTAGAAATTAAGTAACGCATAAATTCAGTAATTCCGTTGATATTAATTCTCGAAGGGGTATAGCGATTTTAATTTCAGCAAATATATTCAGTCTAGTTTCAGTTTCTTATGTCATTTATTTTTTAAGTTATGACGTCATCGACTTTTTTTTAAATGACAACCTATATTTTTTATTATTGATTTTGGTAGTAGTTTCTATTCCGGTTCCGACCGTATAAAATTTTCAATATGTTATTATTTGAAAAAATCGAGAAAAACAGTCTTAAAGTTCAAATAATAAAAATTCATTAAATTGGGTAAATTTATCTAGTTGCCGGTGTATCACATTAGTTACGGCTGTCAGAATTACACAATTTGTAAATGTCACAATAGAATAAGTGTTATTATTTTGCTTTTTCTAAATTAGAAAAACTATTTTATTAATAAAAATGGTACAATTGAGCGACAAACAGAGAATTGAAGTGTTAATAATGATTGGTTATGGCGATAGAGCTAGAACACATCAAGAAGTGTGTCATCTTTTTAGAGAAAAATACCCGGATCAGCCCATAAATCAATTAACAATTAGTAGGATTGAAAAAAAATTTCGGGAACATGGGCGTTGTAAAGAATCAATCTTCCAAAAACTGGACGTCCGGCGACATTAAATGAAGACGCACAACTTGATGTGCTACTAGAAATTGAAAACAATCCACATTCAACTAGTAGAAGCATTGCTTTGAAGCACACCACAGTTCTAAAACTTTTGAAAGTTCAAAAATTCCACCCATATAAGGTGCACTTGGTTCATGAGTTGACAGTAGATGACTTTGATCGTAGGCAAGAGTTTTGTGAACAAATGATGGGAATTTGCAACCGCGATCCAATGTTTTCCCAGCGTGTTTTATTTTCGCATGAGGCAACATTTTGTTTAAATGGCCATGTCAATAGACAGAATTGTAGATATTGAGCTAGGGACAATCCCCATTGGATGCAGGAAAGTCATACCCAATATTCTCAGAAAGTTAATGTTTGGGCAGGAATTATTGGTGACAGAATTATAGGTCCATTCTTTTTTGAAACAATTTGACTGGAGATAGATACCTGCAATTTTTACAGTTGGAATTGATGCCTGCATTAGCTGCATTATTCCCCAATGCAAATAACACTGACCTACCAAATAATACAATTTGGTTACAACAAGATGGCGCTCGGCCTCATTACGAAATTATTGTGCGACGCTACTTGGACCAAGTTCTCCCAGCAAGATGGATAGGGAGAAGAGGTCAGATAGAATGGCCGCCTAGATCTCCTGATCTAACGCCATTAGACTTCTTTTTATGGAGGTACTTTAGAAGTAAAGTGTACAACAATCGACCCAATAATTTAGACGATCTCAGGCAAAGAATTCAACATGAGATTAGGTTAATATCGCCTCAAACTATTCAGAATGTGAGAAATGAATTTTATAATGGTCTTGGTTATTGTCAAATGGTACAGGGTCGCCAATTTGAACATTTAGTGTAAATGTAATTTAACAACTGATATTTCTGTGCATATTTTTGTGTTTGATGATATTGTTAGATTTTTTTCTGGTTAATCAATTTAGTTTCTTTTTATACCCAATATTTGCCTCACGAAGTTATCGTTGTTACTATGAATTGAACAGATAATAAATTTCTAGTTCGATTTTTCAACTATTTGTATAATTTCAAAATAAAAACGAATGTGCCGTCGATAACTTTCCGTCAAACTTAGGCAACTAGATAAATTTTCCCAATTTAATGAATTTTTATTATTTGAACTTTAAGACTGTTTTTCTCGATTTTTTCAAATAATAACATATTGTAAATTTTATACGGTCAGAACCGGAATAAAAACTACTACAAAAATCAATAATAAAAAATATAGGTTGTCATTTAAAAAAAAAGTCGATGACGTCATAACTTAAAAAATAAATGACATAAGAAACTGAAAATAGACTGAAAATATTTGCTGAAGTTAAAATCGCTATACCCCTTCGAGATTTTTTCCAAAAAAATTAATATAAACGGAATTACTGAATTTATGCGTTACTTAATTTCCACACGTATAATAACCTATGCATGTGTAATCTAAAACTGTATCAATAATTTAAATGCTTTTTATTATAAGAACCATTCGTAATATAAGTAATATAAGGACTAATAGATATAAATAAATTTGTATCTCATATATTTTGGTTGATAGAAGGTACATATTAATAAATTGCTGTTTCTATTTTCATTATTATTAATTTACCACTGTTTTAGATTTCTTCAATCCGTGGCAATGGGAACGTGTTCACATTTTCTTTAGGGTATAACCCCTCTTGCATAGTTCTGCTTTAGGATTTTGATTTGGGGGTTGGTCAATTAATATGATGTGTTTTATTTAAATGTTGAGTTGCAAAAACGTAAATTCATGTTATGTTAAATCTGGTATACTGCAAAGCTCAATTTTGTGTCCACTTTAAAATTACACAATTGTCATATAAATCAAAACAATCACATTGGTTGTTATTTATTGTGACAAGCATATAAAGTGCTTATAGCTAATTATTCTGTACCGAAGGTACAAGTACTTGTTCGATCCTGGAGCAAGTTGGAAATTTTATTTGTAAAAGGTGTTTCAATAGGAGCGCAAGATTTGAATTGCGCGCCAGTTACGGCTGTCATGATGTCACAAGATTACGACATGGCAGGTCGATAGGAGACATATGAAAGTTAGTAAACATGGAGCATTACACGATAGAACAACGCATCCAGATTGTTAAACATTATTATCAAAATGGTGAAAGTTTGATTGTCACGATTCGTAAAGTGCGTCAAATTTTCGGTCGGAATAACGTTCCTCATTCATCTACTGTGAAAAGAATAATCGAAAAATTCGAAAGTACGGGTTCGGTTAGTGATGTGATACATATGACACGAGCTCGTAGAGGTCGTTCAGAACAAAACATCACGGCAGTTCGTGAGAGCGTGGCAGAGAGTTCAGGGACGTCGATTCGTCATCGTGCACAAGAATTGGACGTAGCAACACCACTCTTCAGCGTATTCTCACCAAAGATTTGCATCTCCATGCCTACAAAGCCCAATTGACTCAACAACTTCTGCCAACAGACCATGCACAGCGAAGAGAGTTCACCAGTTGGATCCTTGAACAACAAGAAGTGAATGGCGAACGTTATCATGCTATGATAACCCAGTTTTTTGGGCTTCATTTGGAAGATATTGTTCTCGACGACATGCGGTTTCAGCAGGACGGTGTCACTTGCCACATTGCCCGTGAAATATTGACGGTCTTGCACGAGTCTTTTCCCTGGTCATGTCATATCTGGGTTGGTGACCAGAATTGGCCGTCACGGTCTTGCGACTTAACACCTTTGGACTTTTGACTGTGGGGTTATCGGAAGTCACAGGTTTATGCCAACAAGCCTGTGACCACCGAGGCATTGAAGGCCGAAATTAGACGCTATATCAACGAAATACCGCTACATGTATGCAACGCCGTTATTCAAAATTTCGCCGAGTACGCATGTGCCAGCAAAGCCGTGGCGGCCATTTACCAGATATGTTGTTCCATACATAACTCCCAAATGTCTACATTATAACTAAATAAATATTTCAATACTTTGCTACAGAAACCCATCTTTTATTGAACCTTGAAATATTGCGCTCTTATTAAAACACCCTTTAATTCGTTTCGGACTAAGATGGGAGAGGAAATTGTCGATTCCCTAAATGAGGAGCGCTCATACGAAACGCAATAAATCCATTTTTAACTTATTTTAAGTTATGTACACTGCATCTAATTTAGATATGAAATAAGTCCAACTGCGGTATCAGAGTTATTCAAAATCCAATAATTCCCATTAAAATTTAACTCCAATTGTAAGCGGTCAATCAAAACATAATAAATCCAACCTAATGCACAATTTATTTTGA